TCCCTCCGGCTGAGGGCTCGGGGCTGCGGCCAAGCCCTGGAGGCAGTTCACACATCCCCTCCTCGCTGTTAACTCCCTGCAGTCAGGGATTACAAATTACAGCTGCCTCCCACTTCCTCACCCTCCGGGCGCCGACCCGCTGCTGGCTACCGCTCCTTTTCCATCCCTTTTGTTGGATGTTCCATCCATTCCCTTTCTGGGTCCTTCCACAGAGCTGGTTTAGGCAACTCCATCTTAAGGGGACAAGCTCCTGGGAGTGGAATTGGCCTGGGTGACTTTGGTTTGGTTCCTCTCCCATCTTGCTGCGTGCTGTGTCCAGCCCAGGAGAGCGAGCGGGGCGAGTGATTTATTTGCAAGCCTGATCCAGCAGCGCAGCTTCTGCCCGTTCGCTCTGTATCGAACATCTTCCAAACGTGCATCACTGGAAAATTATTTGTCCTACATTGACTCATCTTGTATTTATACATCCAAGAAGGGGTAATTTATCTTTTACTCCCACATTTCTAACTCTCTCAAAATTTAAGCTGTATACCTGCTTATACAGAATGGGGTCTTCGCCGCTTGGCATTTCGAGGTGTAATTCTTTTTACGGAGGGAAATTTACTCTGCAACGTACTCAGGTCGATCCAAGCCACATTTGAGGGCTTCAGTTTCATACCTGCAGCTGGTATGTGCCGGCGGAGAGGTGCGCCTGGCCGAGCAGGAGCATGCCTACAGTGGCCTGTCAGCAAGAGCGATGCCCGATGCTGGCGCTTTATTCATTGCCTGTAGAAAGGCAGTCGGCTCTACCTCCGGACACAAGTGGCAAGATAGCTTGGAGGGAGTTAAAAGGAAAGCCCTCCTGGGAAAAAGGCAGGCAGGACGGTGACCTTCTCCTCATTCATTCTTTCCACGGCTATTAACACACTCGGCTCATAAGCAAATAAAGTCTCTTGACTTCTGTCGGGCTGGTGGTGGGGTTTGAGGGTCAAGCAACATTTCCTTTTCTTGTGCATCAAAATAAATAGCTCAATAGGCCAAACTAGTTGGGCTGGGGTAATGAAAGCAAATTTTATTTCTGCATTAGGAATTCATGCGGTTCTCTCTTGAAATGATCATGGGGAAATACTGTTGGGTTTAATCTCTCCTAAAGAGCTGCTAAGACTCCAGTAGAACTGGAAGGAACAAAAAACTAGTAACAAGTTCATGGCACTGAATTAATTAAAAAAAATGGAAGAAGATCTATTCTTTATGTTTAAAGTGAGCAATTTCTTATTATTCACAGTCAATCTATCTTTCATGGGCACTTTTCACTGTGTAGAAGAGCACCTAAAAATATACAAAGCGACTTCTCAGAATAGACCTGTGCTTTAATAGTCTGGAAAAAAGGATTGATTTATGGGAAAAGGTGACAAGAACCACATACTTATTGCTTAGCTGCTAAGTGGAGAGCTTTGAGAGGTGCCAGCACATATCAGAAAGCCGTAAACACCAGGCAAGAAGACACATTATTTCTCCTGAGTTAAGAAGATATGACCAGAAGTCATGAGGCAAAGGAAGGATCATGTACGCTGTAAAATAGTATCCCATGAGACGTGGTGAAACACCATCTCTCACGACACTTAAAACTAGCCTGGGCAGAGCCTGCCTTGGCAGAGAAACCCTTAGGACGGCTGTCTTCTCTTCGAAGGGCCATAACCAAGTCCAGCTCCTAGTACCCGGGGGGATTTCTGTGGGACTCAGGCTTTAACAAGAGCCCCCGCCGAGACTTTTGCCTTTTCCACCCCCAAACAGCTGTGGCTTATGTTTTGTACCCGCTCTGGGCATCACTCTAACCACTAGGTCTGCCCCTCTGCACTGTTTCCTCCCACTGCAGCAGCCCCAGGACCGGTGGCAACTGCTTTTTTTTTTTACGCTAACGCATACCTGGGCCAAGGATGGGAGTTGGTTTTTTCTTTCTTGAAAATGTAGAAAAAAATTAAGGCTTCCTGACTGCTCTGGCACTGGAAACGGTTGAAAAACACTGGTGTGTCTCTAGGTTATAAAATACCCCTCTCAGTTCGGAGCCTTTCCAAGTGCTTTCTGAAGTTGCAGTTACCTTCTCTCTCTCCTCTGCGTCATAGTTGTCCGGAAAGACAGGTTTATTCTGATTTTCCTCATTGATTTCTCTCTCCTCCAGATAAAACTGCCACTTGGCTTCGAAGTAAAACCAGTGCTCCTGATATTCTGAATGCAAAAGAAATGAATGATGTAGTACTTAATTCCAGCAATATTTTCAGTTCTACTTTAACAAATTTTAAAGAAAATGACATTATTTAGTGACACGAAAAACTAGGTATTTTGCAATAATGTACATTAACCAGGCACATGTACTAAGTATGCATTTTAATATGGAATGGGGAATCTAACTGGAAACAGAAGATGTGAAAGAAGGAAATATTTTCAGAATCTTGTGCTATTTTTATGTCACATCAAAATTACGTTAAGATACATCAAGATGAGATTTTTAGAGAACTTACTGAGGAACACTCCAAGTAAAAGATAAGAGCCAACAAAAAGAGAGGAAAAAATTTGTATGCCAATTTTTGTATTTCCTTACTATGATTAAAGAATATTTTAAAATGCTTACACATCCTAAATACAAATTGCTTCCTACCTCAGTTATCAGTTTTTAATCACATAATTTCTCCAGTATTTCTGTTCTGTTCTCACTATATTTCTGTGTGATCTTTCAGGAAAAAGCAGATAGGAAAGGACAAAATTTCCATTTGCATATAATATGTATCAAATGTAGTAAAAGTGATGAATTACACACACATCTGCTATCTGTGCCCATAGAAATAAGTCTTTTTTAATAACCATAGGTCTTTCTCCTTTTTCTGTCACTTTTAGGAAGACACCTCTAATCATGCTTAACATTGCCCCAGGTGGCCAAGAAGGCCAACAGCGTCCTGGCCTGTATCAGGAATAGTGTGGCCAGCAGGAGTAGGGAAGTGATCGTGCCCCTGTACTCGGCACTGGTGAGGCCGCACCTTGAATCCTGTGTTCAGTTTTGGGCCCCTCACTACAAGAAGGACATTGAGGTGCTGGAGCGTGTCCAGAGAAGGGCAACGAAGCTGGTGAGGGGTCTGGAGCACAAGTCTTATGAGGAGCGGCTGAGGGGACTGGGATTTAGTCTGGAGAAGAGGAGGCTGAGGGGAGACCTTATCGCTCTCTACAACTACCTGAAAGGGGGTTGTGGTGAGGTGGGTGTTGGTCGCGTCTCCCAAGTAACCAGCGATAGGATGAGAGGAAATGGCCTCAGGTTGTGCCAAGGAGGTTTAGACTGGATGTTAAGAAAGATTTCTTTACTGAAAGGGTTTTCAAGCATTGGAAGAGGCTGCCCAGGGAGGTGGTTAAGTCACCATCCCTGGACGTATTTAAAAGATGTGTAGATGTGGTGCTTAAGGACATGGTTTAGTGGTGGACTTGGTAATGCTAGGTTAACGGTTGAACTCAACAATCTTAAAGGTCCTTTTGCAACCTAAATTATTCTATGATTGTGAGTGTGAATAATCTTGTTAAATTCAGTTTATTTTCAAGTCAGTGCTCTGGTTCGACCTTTTTATAAATGCTTAAAAAGGCACGTAAGCCACACCGACCTGTTAAGCACATATACATGCACTAGTCTGCAGAACTGAGGCCTGAGTGAAACCCTACTTGGGAAGTTGATGGGGGTAAGGAATTAGAAATCAGTGAGATGGACCAGATGGATAAATACGCCAAGGCAAACAGACAACTCAATATGGAACTATTGGTGTACAGTTTAAAATAAAATTGATCATTGCCACTTTTTCCCTGCCTCTGCAGTTCTGTGCTGCAAGTGGCTGAGGAGCATGCACACAACCAAACCATTTCTCTGAAGAACATAATCTAATTTTGCTTCTTTTCCTAAAAGGTCATACACGTGACCTTCTTTGGCAATTAAGAATTTTAAAGTGGTTCAAGTCCATGTAAAAAAAATCTAAGCTGTCTTGTAGGACCTGATACTTTCACAAGGTTGCCGGTTCCCCATCCTCAGACAGGAATGAATCTTCAGCCATGTGCTCTACATGACTGGGAATGCCCAGCTGCCCTTTTTCTGAGTCCATGCCCAAATTTTGCTTGATTACAAGGAAACAATTCATTAGAACCCTAAAAAAATGGGGGTGTTGAAAAAACTAGAGTGAAAATGCACTCTTGGCCATCAGGCCAAGGAGAGCATCTTGAGGAAAAAAAAGTCACACAAAGAAAATGTTGTTGGTTGAAGTAAACTACTGACACTCACTTCAGCAGCTGGTTACAAGATTGCTTTTAGAAATGCAGGTGACCTGATGGGTTTCTTTCTTTGTGTGTGGGGTTTTTTTTTTTTCCCAATTTCCCCTGTGACCATAAAACATGAATGCCTCAAAAATGAATGTTTTTCTATGTAGCAACTCAACAAACAAGGAAGTGGGATTATTCCAATGCACGGGCTTGGAAACAAGGGAATCAAGCAGTTACAGGAGATTTTGTTTGCATGGACAGGCTGTAACATGGTCAGAAATCCCACCCCACCAGCCCTAGCGAGGCTCTGCCCCATCCCTCAAGCCCAGCCTGAGACGACGGTCACCTTCAGGTCCATGGGACTATCTGGCCACTGAATGTCAGAGAGGGGTGTTGAGTCGAGCCCTCTGCGAATGAGCGCCGTGTTTGTCATCCACAAATAACGCAGCTAAAAAAGAGTTTTCTAGAACTGGAGGAGTCTGTTTGGCAGGATTGCTTCGCAGTGGGTCTCACCAGCCAAGGAGCTTGACTTTAATGCAGGAGACTTTTCCCGCTACCAAAATAGGACGAAGCTCAACAATATGGGCACTCGCTGGAGAGCGTGTCTCAGGAGTCCAACACGCATACCTCCACGCCAAGGGGTCCTGCTCGGGTGGAGTGACAGGGACCTGCTGCGAAGCCGTTCAGAGAGGAGCTCGCTCACACTAATCCTGCACCTGCTCCTCATAGGTCTCGGCTAAAAAAATCCTGGTGCGCAATGAGGCGCAGGCGAAAAACGTGGGGTCTTTCACAAAGGCTCCCTGGTGCTCCTTGCAGATTTTTAAAGCAGCAGCTTTCCTTCCCGGGTAAATCTTCATTTCTGAGTGGTCTTGAGTAAAGATTTCTGTGGAATTCAATCTTTCTCAACAGCCGCCCCTTGAGATTAACAGAAAAACCTCTTTCCTCAATGTTTTAATGTTATGATACTCATCTGTCCACGGCAGGTCTCATCATTACAAACGCATCACTGCCTGGCAAGAAGGGACTAAAATACCTTTGCCCTGAAGATCACATACATTAGTAAAGTAGCAATATCAATTTCAATAGTTGTATTACGCTCAGTTGTTTTAAAACAAGGATAGAACAGGTTGTATCTTACACATTTGTTCAGAAAAGCAACGAGTCAAATCTGAATTTGTGGTCAAAAGCTAACTCTTGGTCAGGAGGCATCTGCAGGTGAACTTTTCCTGGCAAAATGAGGAATGTCAGTGAGTTTTCTTATGGAAAATATTGGACTGTGCGAATTGATGGAAGAGAGCTGAATAATTCATAGCTCAGCAGTCAGTTTGCCTAATAACCTGCTAAATATCATTTCCTCCCTCCCCCTGCCCAGAAATCTTTGAAGACTTCCTAAAAATAAAACTGCAGTAGGTCATTATCACTGCTATTTCTCTTCGTATTTTTGCCACCAATATACCAGGCAGCTAACAGACGGTAGAAGAAGAAGGTGGCACCACCTGGGAAGAACTGAAGTCTGAGCAGAGAAAGCAGGAGAGAACAGCCTGGGAGATGGTGGAGATGGGACGGGGCAGGGGAAGCAGCAAAACGGAGAGGCTGAGGAGTGACGTTTCTCCAGCGTCTTTCTAGCTAAATGTAGTTTTAAGAAAACAGCTCGTTTGATTCAGACACTTTACCTGCCATGTGGCGAATGGTCTTCTTGCAGTATTCTTCAGCCATCGGCACAACCTTCATCATCTCTCTTCCCCACTGCACAAGGGGTTTCCCTTGTATTGCATACGCCACAAAGAGAGCTGTGCATAGGGACCCTAGAAAGCCTGGAATTCATAGGTAACAATGATTAGCAACGCACAGCCCGTGCTCTTGCCATCCTTGTCACGTCCTTCATAAAATCATTAGTGGAGTGTCTCACGGCTGTCGGGTAGATTAACGAATGCACATAACCTGTCTCCGCCTGTTTGCAGGCTGGCTCATGGCATGTTGAGATTCTTGGCTAATGTGCGTTGCCTGTTGGTTTACAACTTATTTTACATAGAAGGGAGCTTCTGTTCTCAGTGGTGTAACATGACAGAAATTGAGGTAGGTGTCCAAAATAAACATCATCCACTAATGTGATACTGAAAATCTTATAACTGAAGTCACATGAAATAATTGACTTGTGCAAAGCGATTCGATTACAAGCTATATCACCTTGCTTACTGAGTCATCCAGCCCAAGGGCTGTAGTTGCTAGATCGAACAGTATTTCTGGCTCATTTTACTCTAAGGGGACAAGTTCGTGTCTGTCTTGGACAACTGCTTCTTTCCTCTAAGGGTACAAGCCCATGTCCCCTTAGTGGAAAGGAGCAACTGTCCAGGTAAGACATGATGCCTGCCTGCCTGCCTAGTTAGGTCTTCCACTTTGGATACAAATACAGTTGAGATGAACTTTCTGTTGACGGGCACTCAACACTTCCATGGCATCAGAAACAGAGGGGCTTGTTTCTCATATTTGCTTGTGCTCTTGGCATTCTGCCAAAGGCAATAAAATCAACCCAGTGCAATGTGCAAAAGAAGGTTAAGAAAACAACTCAGTCATTTAAACAAGCCCCAGCTGAGCAAAGGATTGATGTGTGTGCTTCTCTCCGTGCACGGGTCCAAAAGCATTCACTCATGCATAGAGGTAAGCATGAACTTTGTGTGTTTTGCTGAAGGTAAAACCAAATTATTTTAAGAGGTTACAAGTCCAGATGAGATGAGTGCTAATTCTTTCTGCCTAAGACCTGTGATACTGGGTCAGGCCAAAGGCACGTCTAACGCAGGATCCAACAGATGCTTTCATAAAGAATAAAAACCCAGGTAGAGCCAGCTCAAAGGACCTCACTCAGATAGACAGCATCTAACCCAACTGCCATGAAGACCCTTTAGTGTCACATTCAGCGTGAAGGTGGCAGTGGAGGGTTTAGAGGGTGAAGCAAAGGGCTAGCAGGAGGCAGCGGGTGGTGAAGAGGGTGGTGGAGGCTGCAACATGCCCAGAAGGTTTTTTGGGGTCTGGCAGTCTCTTCCTCCCTGCTCTTCAGGTAGCTCCCTCTCCCTGCCATTGTCCTGCTCCTGGCAGTCCTCACGTAGCCTCCTGCCCCTCTCCGGGGAAGCAAGCAAGCCCCAGCTGCCATTTCTGGCTCTGCAAATAATGCCAATACAGAGTGAGCCTAATTGGTTTGGCTTCTCCACTCCCCAGAGCTTCTGGACTAGCTTAGGGGCAATTTTAATTACAGCGTTTGATTGCTTTTATCAGTGACAGCCCTTCTCGTCCACTTGCCTGATTCCTTTTGAACTCAGACGCATCTGTGGACTTTGCAGCTGCCTGTAGCAGCAAGGTCTGCGGCTTAACTACGCATGACATGGGGAAGTATTTCCCTCGTCTGTCTGTTTCCGTCCTGACTGACGTGTCAGTTGGGTTGTCCCCATCTTTGAGTTATGAGAATCACAACTGACACTTCCCTGGCACCTTGCAGGATGGTAGTGAGGTTCATGGTGGCCCTTCCACCCCTCTTCTCCCTGCCTCCCTGCCATGCCACTAGTCTTTTCTCAGCTGAAAACTCCTTCTGGATGTAATTTCTCCTTGTATGGAAGGCGTTTGATGACTTGGATGCTCCTTGCTGACATTTTCTGGCTCTGGTAAGTCCTTTCTGAGGTGGGAGACCCAGAACTGCAAGCAGTCTTACTGCTGTTAATGCACCAGGGCCTTTATATATTGGCTTAATGATATTTTCGCTTTGCTTTGAATTCTTTTCCTCTAATTTTATGCCATCCTGATGGTTTTTCTGACTACTTCAGAGCACTGAGCGTGTTGAACATGTCACCATTCATTACAGTTTTATTTATTGCTGTTTAAAGCAGACAGAATGAATACAAACTTACTTAGCATAAAATTATCAGAATACAAATTTACGTAGCATAAAATTATTAGATTGACATACCAGAATATTCAAAACAACATTAAATCTATTTACTTATGTTTTGCTTAGAGAATATTTTGGATTGTGTCCTAAAGTATATGGAGGTAGATTTTTTGGTTTTTTACCTTTACTTACAGTGATTAGATACGACAAAACCTGTCAAGAGAAAAATGTTATTATCCCCTGAACCATAAACTTGCATGATAACAGCAATTCATCTAGACATCCACGAATCCTAAAATTTGGTCAGGGCAAGTGACATGAATATGCTTTGGACAAGATGGGTTGTGGGATTTTAGGAGGGAAAAGTCCTGTGCCTGAGGTTGCTGTTTGTGTAACATACAGGCAAATATGTAAGCTTATATAAGTAATATATACATGTATATACTATCCCAGCAAAATTCAAACCAAGGCCTTGGAGTCTGCAAAGCAGAAGCAGTTTAACCAGGTGAATGCACAGGAGCCGCGTTAGTGCCCGCCGAAGGGAAAAGCAGCCTTAGGGACGTCGGCACGCCGATACGTCAGCGGACATTACCTGTAGGATGGTTGTGAGTCATTCGTCCGCATTCAATGCTCACTTCAATAAGTGACTCCAGCCTTTCCGGCTTCCAGTACCGCATCCCTAAACACATGGCTTTTGTGGATGCTCCAAATCCAGAACCTAAAGCAAAAAGATAATGCCACGCATTTAAAGGGAGACAAATCAAATATTTTGATAAAATGTGAAACAAGCACATGTTATTAATTCCAATCATGTGTGGGAACTCCTCAGGGAACAGGAAATTAGCATGCAAAGTGAGTTAGAACTTTTGACATTTTCTTGCGAGGAATTTTGCTTCTACACAGTCATTCTGGTTTTACAGGTTTATTCCAATATTCTCAAGTGCTACAAAGAGCATAGCGCGTTCAGAAAGCAGTGTGCTCTCTTGTTCACGGCACTTGTTAGGTTCAAACTCTCATGCCACCTTTACTTATTCTTGGCTGACACCGCTGTTTTGCTTGCTCCACGTGCCAGCACTAGAAGAGAAGTTTGAGAAACAGATAGGCTTTTACTACACCTTTATTTTAGTAGTCTTCAAGCTGAAAGCATAGGATTAAAACACTTTGTATGAGTATCACAGTTGATCTTACGATTTTAATGCATGCCAGACAGCCCCTCTGGTAGTTCACAAAATAGTTTCTGCTACACAAAAAAATAATGTGCCCAAAAAAGAAAATAAAGGCTACGGAGCCAAATCTTCCAAAGTTAGGCAGTGTCAGAACTGAGGTTTCCTGCGCAACCTGAAATTAGTGCTTGTGTGCACGCTCATTATGCTACAGCCTGCACCCACCTGAGCCTGGTCCTGGGAATTTCTGCCTCACGCAGCGCAAAGTTTAGTTATTGAATAGCTAATTCAGAATGTCTTTCAATCCTCAGCATTGAGTGCATGATCCCAGGTGTTTGTCTTTTAAACACTTCATTGAATGGAGAGTTAAATTTACTAATGAGTTTCTCTGCAATGCTTATCACAGTAATATCAGGATCCCACAGAAGTTTTAATGAGCTTATCTTCACAAGGCACCAGCAAGGTGATTATCTCCTCTTTTCAGCTGGTGAGCCAATGCCCAAAAAAGAATCAACTCATTGCAGGCACCCACCCTGTGATGGATAGGGTTCGATTTTTCAAAGTACTTGACATTTTTCAGCACTGTCTTTGCTCAGTCACACTTCCCAGTGACCTTGGGTATAGCTGAGAGCAATCAGCATTTCTCTACTTGGGCCCTGGAAGATAAGGGGCATATTTATGCCACCTAATTTTAGCCTCTGTGGAACCTGCGTTAGGAGCACAGTCTCCCTGTCTTTCCCAGAGAGGTGGTGTGGAGAAAGGCTGTGTCTCCATTAGCTGGTATGATGGCATAGCAGGAGTAATTCACGGGCCAGAGTGGACTGAAGCAACAAATGCCAAGGAGCCAGGGTCAGGGCTTTTAGTCACCTGTCCCGAGAAGAGCCCTGGGCTGTGCCCGCTGTGGGTGCAGAGCACCAGGGGCTCCCTTGGAGCACTGCTTGCCATTTAGTGTCACCCCAAGCAGCTCCAGCTCAGGTGTCCTAAGATCATGAGTGTGATCACAGTGTGGTGGTGGGAAAGGCAGGGAGATGTACTTCAAGCCAAACTGAAGTCTGAGCCAAACTAAGATAAGCTACCCATTGGCATCTCCAGGTGTAATACAGACCAACTAGGATTTGAATTTCTCTCTTGAGAGAAGAGCTCTTCTCCCTGGAGAGCAGCTATCCTGAGTGAGCACCCTGGTTAGGTGATCTAATTAGGTTAGCTTCCTCCTCAGTCTGATGTGCAAATTTTGCACGCAATAACTCTTCCAAAAAAGTCCAAACACCTGATAAATGTGACATGAAAGGCTTTGCAAAATACCATTTTATTTCCTGCAAGCTCAGAGCTTGCTTCCTCATCCCTTGCTAGCCTTCCTTACAACAGTGAAAGGGATCCTCTCCAGAACACGTTTGGCCACTGCTCCTCTTGAAAAGGCTGGATACTTGTCCTGCAAATGGTGTGTTTGCTCCTGTATCTCACATATGCTGCAGCTGTAGTGCCTGGTTATTAAGGAGCCAGGAGCAGATAAAACTGTCTGCCTATCCCACAGATCACATACAAATCACAAGGAAAAATCAGGAAGGAAATACAGTCTTCCAGAGCACCAGTCAGCTTAGCTGGGAGAACATACCTTCTCCTGCTTGCAGGACCAAGCTCTTCATTAAACCATCTGCTGCCATAAAGCCATAAAAAGCATAAAGCCATAAAGCAGCAGATGGGAATCTTCTTCACTGTGCAATCCTGGCTCCTTCAAAGGGCACAGTGTGTCCATGATGGTTATCCAAGAGCAGGGAAGGGTGTTGTGCTACACAGAGCTGCTCATTAAATAACATCTCTCAGTATATCCAAACTGGAGGATGCGCTACAGTAATCTTACTGCTGGTCTGAAGTTTCTGGTCTTTGCAACTGCCTTGTGTTTCTCCAGTCTAAGAAGTCATATTAAAACCTTCTGCAGAATTAGACAAGCAAACTTGGTACCAAAAAATTCCATCACATGGAGTAACATTAAGCCTAGACAGGCCTTCAGGTGATCAGCAGCTGTTAGCCCCCACGTCTCAGTGCCTACCATCTGATTCAAGGCAGTAAGGGACAGTGCGACCAGCCCAAGCAATGGGTGAGAGAGATACATGTGTAAGAACATAAGGGCTGTCCTCCACGATCGGACCAAAGGTTGACCTAACTTACCATGTCTGACAGTGGCCAGTGGATAGGATACTTAACAAAGAGTAAAAGAAAAGTACGATGACACTACCCCTTTGTACTAACTAAGCTGCTGACAATTTGCCTCCCTGATCCAGGAGGCAGCTGGCTATTCGTCTTTCTGCTTAATAATCCTTGAAGGGTTTCCCTTGGGTGAATTTGCCCAGCTCTTTTTTGAACTCACATGGAAATAGTTGTGCAGCTTAATTCGTTGTTGTGTGAAGAAGTCCTTCCTTTTGCTCGCTTTGAAGTCATGACCTGCCAGTTTCGTTTGAAGTCCTTTATTCGTGTGCTGGAGGAGACAGTGAGTTTTCTCTGTCCCTGTTCATGTTCTCCAAGCTATCTATGACTTTACACTCTCTACCTTACTGCCTCAGACATCACAGCCTACGGAAGCAGTGTTTTACTAATCCAACCATCCTTCCTCATATCCTTTCTAGTTCTCTTACATCGGTTTGAGGGGAGGGAAGAACCAGACTTTATACAGTAATCAAAGAACAGCAGCTATGGATTTGTACAGTGGCACAAACATGTTTTATGTTTTGTTCTCCGTCCCTTTCCCAGTCATTTCTAACAGTATATTTGCTTTCTGGCTCTTACTGAGCACTGAAGTGATGTTCTTGTAGAACTGCTATGGTTCCATGGTGCCTTCCCTGAAGGGTAACTGAATCAGCTACTGCAATTATGTATGTAAAATTAGGATTTCCCCCCATCACGTATGACTTTTCATTTTTCTGCATTGTATTTGGTACTGCTGCTGTGCCACACAGTTATTCATCATTGTAAACATCTTCCACAACTCTGCATCATACTATGTTTGACATTGTTGACCCACTATGCACTTGTATTTCCAGATAGTTTGTGGACATGTTGAACAGCACAGGTCCAACACAGATACCTCCTTCTCTCTGGAGAAGAGAGACTGCCATCTCCTGCTCTTTATTTACTCTCTTTTCACCGGTTGTCTATCCTCAGGAGAATCTTTCTGTCATTCTGTAGCAACTTAGTGCCTCATCACTTAGTGCCTTTGGTGAGGGACCTTGTTGAATGTCTTTTGGAAATCCTAACAGACCATCTTCACGGTGTCTCCCTTTTCCTCCTGTTTCTTGGTTATTTCATGAGCTTTCTAATAGATTTCTGAGGCGTGACTTCTCTTCACAAAAGCCATGTTGACACTTGTTACATCATGTTCATTCATGCACGACATTGTTCTCTTTTAGTATGTAATACCTCAGTGTGCTTTTCTTCACTCTACATCTGTAGAATAATAAAGGTCAGCTTAATGGCTGCTAAGCCCTGAAGACGATGTGTCTTTCGTAACTACAGACCATTCTGCATGACAGCTCAGAGCCCGGCCCCTTTATCTGCTGTCCCGCTGCGGCTTATCCTCCTCTTCATTTTTGCTCCCCAACTTTCTGCATTTAACTCATGCTTTTTCCTCTTGCTCTTCTAGCAATGCCACCAGCAAAAAGGCACTGTTCTCAAGAGCTACTAGGAAGCCCCACAGCCACTCCAGTAGCTGCAAATAAAGACCTGCTTGGATGCAGCAGCCTTAAAGTGGAAGGTGTTAGACAGCCTTCGGCAGGTCTTCTGGCAGTCACAGGAATCTCACCAGCCTCTAATGTAACCCAGGTACCTCTGCAATGATTGTGGCAATAAGCACAACATGAGGTGGCAAAGAAACACACAGGGAAGTTTGACTTAAGAACTCAGTGTGCTGACTATGCCCACATGAATTTGAGAAGAGGAGCTTCATATAAGCAATGCAAAATTACCTAAGCTATGATTTCACTGGTCCATGAAGGCTGTGACATGAATTCTTGCTAGAAGTGAGATAAGGTAAAATGGCCACAGGAAAACAGCATTTGGGTTCCAGCCCATCCAAGACATCACCTGACTGCTAAGCATTCAACGCCCATGGAATGTTTTTGCCCTGAGAAGAAATCTGTGAAAACTCAATTAAAAAGTTAATTATGTCCATAGCAGTGTGTGCTGGTTTTGGCTGGGGCAGAGTTAATTTTCTTCGTAGTAGCTAGTATGGGGCTATATTTTTGATTTGTGCTGAAAACAGTGTTGATAATACAGGGATGTTTTCATTATTGCTGAGCAGTGCTTACACAGAGTCAAGGCCTCTTCTGCTTCCCACCCCACCCCACCAGCAAGGAGGTCGAGGGTGCACAAGAAGTTGTGAGAGGACACAGCCGGGACAGCTGACCCCAACTGACCGAAGGGATATTCCATAGCATATGATGTCACGTTGAGTATATAAAGCTGGGGGAAGAAGAAAGCAGCAGGGCGGACGTTCAGAGTTATGGCGTCTGTCTTCCCAAGTAACTGTTACACGTGACGGAGCCCTGCTTCCCTGGAGATGGCTGAACCCCTGCCTGCCCGTGGGGAGTGGTGAATGAATTCCTTGTTTTGCTTTGCTTGTGTGCGCGGCTTTTCCTTTACCTGTTAGACTGTCTTTATCTCAAACCATGATTTTTCCCACTTTTACTCTTCTGATTCTCTTCCCTGTCCCACCATGGGGGGAGCAAGCAAGCAGCTGCCTGGGGCTTAGTTGCTGGCTGGGGTTAAACGGTGACACAGTGTCAGGTCCCGTGGTAGGCTGAACATCTCCACCTCAGGTCCCTGGTTCTTTTGCTCTCATGGTGGAAAAAGGCTTCTTGAGATGTTCAGGATGATATTTGTCAGACCAGATAGAGAAGGAAGGTTTTAGCTGCCAGGACTCAAGGCAGGAATCAATTTTAGAACATTCTAGCCCAGAGTGTCCCAAGAGCAAACAGGTCATCACGGAGAGCTGGGGAGGAGGAAGGCTAAAAGAAAAGATGTGGCTCCAACACAGCAATGGGCTGGGGAACAGCCACGATCCACTGCTGGAGGAGTCAGGAGCTGCTCGGGGCCACCGTCAGCTCCCACAATTATTTTGACCAAACTTTATACTTGCTGTCAATTAGAAAACATACAACAACTGCCAAAGGGGCACTCTGTCAGATCTGCCTGGCTAATAGCAGGGTGGGCAGAATACACAGGGAGGGGATCCTTTTCCCCCCCAGCAGCTGTTGTGAGGAGCAGGGGCCGAGTAAGGGATGCTTTCTGTGTCGGAGAAAACTGACTGCAGAGACCCAGAAATAGCCATGGCCTTGTGCCACCGGGTTTCTGCCACAGCGTTGCATCAATAAGCAATGCTGTTGAGCGGTGCCGATACGTGCTGCAGTGGTAGAGCATCGCACCGACACAGCGCAACGTCTGTGTGAGCTGCCATCACCTTGTGGCTGTCCAGGTCTACATCCTCGGACGGTGTGGTGTCTTCTAGAGGCTTTGGAGATTAATTGCGTTGTATGTATATGTATGTACGTGTGCGCCCATAGCTGCGTGCTTGTTATTGAAGTAGAAATTCAACGCATCATGAAACAAAACTATCATAAAGAAAGAGAGGGTCATGGCTAAGGAAACAGGGCTGAGCGTAGTGGGGATTTTCAGACAGACAGTCACAGTTGTTATCAGGGCA